GGAGCCCCGACCGGGACAGTGCGGATTGAAACTCGGAAATAAATGAATCGGGAAGGCGCAGAACCAGGCTGTTGGGTTCCGGGGCCTCAGCCGTGTGTTCCAGCCCCGCGCCAGGTTTTCCAGGAGCCAGGATTCCTCTAAGTCAGTTTTCCTCTGTGCTTAGGCACCCGCTGGAGCATTTCCCAGCAGTGCCTGCCCCATTCCATCCTGTAACACACGTATTAAAAACGCAAAATAGCTTTGCAGCTGTTTAAAAAATAAAATAAAATTGTAATGACAGATTTTCAGGGAAGAACTGATAAGAGAATTATCATAAAATACAGAACACTGTGTGCAGTACAATTGAGAGACCTTACATACCAAAAAAAAGGAAAAAACAATATTCTGACCTGTATAGAAATTTTTTTAAAACAATAAATCAGCCACATAATAAAATAATTTTGCTCTAATACACAGCAAACATTCCTGCCCACCATTAAGATGACATTTCTAGGCAGGCTCTGAACAATGGAGAAGAAAGCACAAATTTAATTTCCAGCTCCTCTTCTGCATCTGCTGTTGTGTGGATCTCCACCTGCTAAAGCCAGGGAACTGCCCAGCAGGAGCTCTCAGAGGTGACTGAAAGTTGGTGTCACTGAGCTGTTTGTCCCCCTCGGCTGCCATCTACCAAAGGAACAACAACAATGAAGAATTTTCATTCCATCGTGGCTCTGAACTGCTGTGTGTACTTAGACAGCTCCTCAGTTTGGCCCTGAAGTTCCCTTATGGCATCTGGGTTTGGATACTGAATGGCAGCATTTTTGGTGGCAAGAGCCAGATTCTTCAAGAGGCTGCAAAACCTGCTGCTGCTGTGGAGAACGTCGTTCCGAGCATCTCTTTCTTGGGTTTCCTGGCAGAGACAATCCACTAACTTTTGTCCCACCATAATGATCAGTTTGCTGTGGGATATGAAGACTTCGGGTGGCTGGTTGGTGCTCAGACTATTTGTGAATACACCGATTGCCTTGTGAAGTGCAACAAAACACAGCCTGCAGTGTTCTGAGAGAGCAAGTTTCTTTGCAGACTCCTCCTTGCTTTGAACTAGGGTCTTTTTTGCAGATGGCAAAACCTGGAAAAGGGTTAAAGAAAATAAAACAGACTCAGCTTGGTGACACACTGATTGTTTATTTGCTCTACCCTAAATTCTTCACACTTCCTCATTTACAGGGAGTTTTGTTAGTTAACAGCCTTCAAGTTGCCCCAGCCCAAGAGTCCTTTACAATCATTTCTCTTCCCATAAAGTGCTGAGTGTCACAGTGGTATTTTCTCCAGTTGCCTTTTTTGTCTGAACTAATTTAGCTGAACACGATTTTAATAATGGACAGCACACCAAGTGCTGCAGCTGAACACCAGTCCCTTCTGCAGTCTAGACTTCAAGCTTTCAGAGAGCACAAAACACTCAGACCTGATCTTTAATGGTGCTGACTTCATATGAGGGTTATGAATGATTAAGAGTGTACAATAACAAGGGAGTCAATCCTCACACCACTGCACGACCAGGTATTTTGAAATAACTCTCACAGCCTTACCCCAGATAATACACAAAGGCAAGCAAATAAATAATGTGTCTTTAAACTAGAGAGGCTCATTACATTTGAGGAAGATTAGTGTTTTGCAAGAGGTTTGCAGCTGTAGCTCTAAGAACTGGTTCTGGGAAAATGAACTATGAGGAAACAAACAGATGTCTCTATATAGATATGTGTGACTAAATGCAAAGTATTTTGGATTTTAACAAGCACAGAAATGAGGAACAAGAAATCCTCATCATTAGTAGTTTTCAAAATCATAAATACCTTTGATTTTGAGTCTGTACTCTTCTTTGCTACTTCTTCACCTGAAATGATTCTCTGTGCCTGTTACAAATCAAAATAAAGGCAAAGTTGAAATGGTTTATATAAAATATTTAAATATAAATGTGTTTTTCCCTTATTTCAGGGGAAACAACTCCTTGCTCTGCAGCCTTCACATTATGGACAACAATGGTGTATTTATTGGAAGGAACTGTAGTTTTTAGCCCACTAAAAATTTAATGCCTGATCCTACAAGATTTAAGACTGAAACTACCATCAGCAAAACATAACATTTCCAAAATTCTAAGAACAAGCCAGCATTTCCTTGTGAAACCAAGAGAGTCACATTCTTAGGAGACATTTCAGTAATTCTAAGGAGAGTGATTCTAACAAACTTCCAAAATTATTCTAAAAATAAGTTTGATAATTCACACTAAGAGTTTAATTTGTTAAATCAAAATTTTCTATGAAAACATGCTTTCCACTACACCTCTGGTTAGAAAGTTAACATTTCTTGTAGCTTGTGTCAAAGTCGAACAAACAAAATGTACTGGCAAGAAGAGAATTACTAGCCAAAAGATAAACAAATTGCTAACCCCCAGCTAAAAGCTGTCTCTCAAATGAATTTATGTGGCAAGCTAAAATACTTTGCTCACTGCTGGCTGCCTGCCTGGGTAGATTCTCAAATGCCAATTCTCTTTTTTATTAAAATTCCTGATCATCCTACACACGCCATCCAGCACACTAACAAAATCTTGAATTCACATAAAGTCTGGAAAACAGGAAGTAGTGCAAAGGGAATTGGGCACTACTGCAAAGATGGAACAGTGCTAATAGCTGGTACATGCCATAAAATCCAGGGGTACTAACCTGCAACTGAACATATTCACAGTCCTCAGTGGCATTTTCTCGTGGTTTCTCAGAAAAGACCCGACCTTGGTTGGATTTATCAGGAGCATTTCTTTGAAGTGAATCTATTTCTGTTCTTCTTGGGAGTGAAATTTGTTTTGCCATTTTGTATTCTGGGTTGACTTTTGCTTGCTTCATTTCTTGCTCCTTCTCATTCTTTCTGAAGAGGAGCTTTCCATTAGCAATGATGATGGACACGAACCTCTTGATGTCGTCTGGGATCGTTCGGGCCACCATGACAAAGCGATCGAGATCGTCTGGGTTGTTCTGGGGTTTCCTGAGGACCAAAGCCTCCAGTGACCAGCTGCAGTGGTTTAGAGCTTCTCTTGTTTCCGTTAAGATTTTGAATGAGTTACTAAGAATTTCTAGCTGTTTTTTTATTCTGGTCTGCAGGTTGTTATCAGTGAGATAAGAGGCATTTGCCTTTACAACTTGAGCAAAAGCCAAGAATTCTCCCAGTGACACTTTTATGTGATCCACTGCTCTATGGATTTCTTCAATGCTTTTCTCTAGGTGCTCTTGTAATCTCCATTTACTACTCACAAAGATCATTAAACTTGCAACTGAGCTGGATACACTGTGCTGCAACCTGGTCAGTGTCTCTATGGCTACGTCAAGTTCCAGTTTAACTTCTTTGGCAGGCTCTTCAGATGATGACGTAGAATTAGACTCAGCAGAAGAGATTGAGGATGTAGAGTGTGTGCTGCTTCTGCTGTCTGCACTAGAAACAGATAACCTGTCTTGCTCTAATTTGGCATCTCTTGAGAGCTGTGGAGGAGCGCTGTATACTTGATCTCCAGAACTATCACTGGCTTCTTCCATCTCTTTCTTGCACTGCCAAGCAGTGGGCAAACCTTTTGGAATAGCGTAAACGTTCCCTCCAGAGATCTGTTTCTCAGCCTTTAAAGCCAGGAGACTTGGGGTTACATCACAGCTACCATTCTGTGGCAAAAGGAGCATGTCCCGTGAGGATGGAACATCATAAAGATGGATCTCTGGAAACGTTGATTTCCATTGTGTTGGTGGAACATCATATAACTGTGGATTTACAACTTTGGCTTCAGTGTTTGTTGTCAGCGCCTTGTACCTGGCAGGTGGTGTATCATACAGCACCTGGCTCTCCAAGGAATGGCCAGAGGGGTTTTGTTTTAATCCTGTTTTTTCAGGAGACACTGGAATATCATAAATCCATTCTGACTTGCGAGGATTTGGCAAGGTATTGTAGTGGCCCCAGAACTTTTTCTGAGATTCATTTTCTGAGATACCAGTTTCTCTTTTGGGAGGGACATCATATAACTGCAACAGAGCACACAGGATTTCATAAGCAGTTTTTTATATAAGAAAGAAACAAAGCTGATTTCTCAGAGTAACTGAGAACTGTAATGTCAGTGGAACTGTACCACAAAAAAGGATAGCCTAGAATTTTTATTTTCTTTCTAAAATGCATAAGCTGCACATAGGAAGGTTGAACTATTTTGAGCACAGGTGATTAAGTAGTACAGCAATTTCCCCAGATAGTGAAATCTGTGAGCTCTTCCCTGACTCCTTTGGGATGGGAAACTTTGATAGTTTTCTGAAACGGCTACAAGGGTAATGCCAGTTTACTAGTAGGTAAAATTCAAAACTCAGTTTTGCAGAATGAAGGAGGTATTATTTTATTAGCCCCTGCATAAGAAAACATCTTGATTTTTCAGCATTCCGCATTTGTATGCATACCCCAGCCAAAATAAAATCACCAACAGGCAACTGGCCATTCTCAAATAACTGCAATGAGTTTAAATTGTTCACATTATATAGGTTTACTAAGACAGATACAGATCTTTTCCAATGCCTTAAAAATACATGTGTGCACAGCTGAAGTCTACAAGCTGGAGAATGCAAATGCAAGATCACTTCGTGTGTAAGAAAATCCAGACTAATACTAACAGGCATTTTGGGACAGATTGTACCTGGGTGTCTCACAAGCATGAAGCACAAGGATGAGGGAGGGCAAGGAGCTGAACAAGCCTGCAGCAGCAAGGAACAACTGAGGAAAACACCAAATCATAAACATTTTAGAAGAACTGGCCAGGTCAGGCCTCCCCATCTGCAGAAAATGTTTCCGAGAAGGGGAGCCCGAATAAGGGTGTTTCAGACCAAAGCCAGAATCTTCCAGATTTCCCATGAACAAAGAATTCTAAGAAAATTTCATTTTGGAAGCAATAATAAACCGTGTCTCCAAAAGCAGATCTGCTCCCAGGATGTTGCAGCTGGTCAGTACAAGTACTAACAGCCATGAAGGTATCAGGAATGTCAGCTTCAGCGAGGAACTGCTCATATGCCAGGGTCTCCCTTCTGGGCAGCTCCAGCCCTGTTGTCCCTGCTGAA